GCTAAATAAATATTTTTACTGGTGTCTTATCTCAAACATAATTGTAAATGGTACTCACAAATCCAGTAAATACTTCGCGGCCAGGCGATCCTTCGTATCCATGGCCATCCATGCAAGCAGGTTAATTTTCATCTGCCTTCTTCCTCGCCGGTGTTTATTGTTTGCCTGTCGTACATTTGCTGATACACTGTTTTACGCGCATTTTATTTTTCTGGTGTTGACTTTTGTAAAGAGTGTTTCCTTTTTCTTTTTGTTATCTTTCTTCCCTTCTTCGATGGAGTCTCAACTAATTCAGCCTCCTGTTCCATGTGCTTTCCCGGCAGCTTGAACTAGTTTTAACTAGGTCGCAATACGAGAATCTCGCGATATCCGGAAGTCTATTGAGCTCAATAATGAAAATGGAGGTGGTTGTTGGTAAACCTCCGCTTAAGCGGAGGTTTTCTTTTTATTGTATTTTCCAAAAATGTTACAGAGCGATGGCGAGTGCCGGGAATGATAGATTAAAGGTTGGTAAATCGCGGAAAAGTACTGTTAACCTCAGGATAAATCGGGATAAATCAATTTTGGTGCGAAAATCCTCTTTTGTGTCCTTTTAAGTGCTTGTTTCACTTTTGAAAGTGTGAAGCAATGGGATTTAATGTTAAGCAATGAAGAGGTATCCTAAAAGTGTCTATCAATTTGTACTACAGAAAGCATCCCCTCCACCCAGTAAACCCACCCATGGAACCATCTGGATTGCCAAGACATACCCTCCTTGGCAGAATACAGTGCTCACTACTCTGAACCAGCTTTATAAGGTAAGGTATGGGGATCACATAGTAAGTAACATGGTCTTCTCTCACTGTACGATTTGGGGGTAACATACTTTGTAACAAGGGCTACTCTCAGGGATTGTACTCTTAATATCAAGGGTAATTCTCCATGTTAGGTTTTGGGGTTGCTTCAGTTTATTCAGCATTGGCTTTAATATTCCACCTTCTTTTCTAGATATTTGATTAAAGGTAGCACTCTCACTCATTCAGTTGTGGTAGGAGAGAACCTATCAGTAATGTCACATATTCAACAAAAAATTTGCTTTTTGACAAATAGTACTGGGTTTGTTTGAGTATGATTGTGAATTCACCATTTTTTATTGCAAGGCCCATGGCAATCAGTTCCCAGAGAACAAGGAGATAGCTGCAGCATTCGGCAACAAACCTGAGCTGAAGAAGTACATGAAGAAAGTGATGCCTTTTGTACAGCTGGTCAAGGTTGGTTAATTGCTTGATTGATAGTCTGAAGTTTTGGTTTGAATAGTTTTATTTATGTATTAAAAACACAGTATGAAAAACCTGCTTAGATTTACGGTATACAAAATTACACAAAGCATATCTGGTAACAGTTTGGTATTTTAGTTCTAGTTTCTTTGCAATGTAATAAGATGCAGATTCTGAACTAAAACTGTACCTTGACACCAAGTGTCAAGCATTTGTAAAGCCCTTGCATCATGTACATGTTTTTGTGGCTGAGGTTTGCAACCAAGATGTTATATTTTTCTTCATTGTCAACCCAGTGGTGTATGTAAACTAAACTGAATAGGTTTGCTATACCATGATGTAATGGAAAATAATAGATTTGAATAATGCTGTCAACAACTATTCAAATTGTAGGAGGGCGTGGCACAGAAGGGAGTGGAAGCCATGAATTTGACCCTGGATTTTGATGAGAAGGCCGTGCTGGAGGCAAACCTGACCTATCTAGTGTCCACTCTGGAGGTAGGGAATTTTTTTAAAATCTTTATAGTAATTAGTATTGTGTAGATTTTATTTACGTATTAAAGTTTCCTGATATCACATTATAGTTGTAAAGGTAACAAAATATATTGAAAGGATTGTACTTATTGGCATTTGTAATATTTACAGCTGGAAGGCCTGGAAGTGAAGTTTTCTACAGAGGCAAGTGAGAACAAGATAAAGGAAGAGAACTGTCCAGGAAAACCGTTCCTGGTTTACTATTCTCAGGTAAATGTCCTATAGTTCTCACTGTAAGGAAGAAGGCATGGAGTCATTGTTCATTAAGGGTGATAGTAATTGAAATGAAATATTATGCAAAGGCTAAGATAACTTACCTTAATGTTTTTATTTATTGATTTCTTTGAGAATTGGTATATTATATATGAAAATGACAAATAATGTATATTTAATGAAAATTTTGTAGAAAAAACTTTTGTTTTGAGACATCGGCAATTATTAATCAGACTAAATCAAATTTCTAAAGATTTTTTTTAAATGTGAGGTCATTTTACACCAGAGACTAGACAAATCTTTGAAGTTATTAATATTATTAGTTTTATTTATCCCTTTTCCAGCCCTCAGTGGCCATGACTTTGGTAAACCCCCAGCCATGTAGCGGTCACTTTCAGATGACCATCCCCATTCTGGACAATGATACAACTAGCAAGATAGCACTTAGGGTAACCAAGATGGACAGACTGATTAAAGGTAGGCTGTGAATTTAAACACAAAATCGGTATGTTTTGTTAAAATGATAAAGAGAAAAAAAATGAACATTCCCTCAACCATTTTCATAATTTTGAATTTGGATATATGGAATGTAATATGGTACAAGTGAAAAATGATGGCATATTTGCTTTTGCAAAGAATATAAAATAATTGCTGCCATAATACAGTAAGCTTTTTATTGGCAGACAATATATGTACGCCTTTTTTTTTTTCAGATGCCAAAAAAGTGAAAATAATGAGGTACGAAGATCCAAACCTAGGACCACGACAAATACCTGTAATGGACCAGCCAATGAAAAATAAAATTGTAGTGCCTGACAATGCCGTCTACAGGATAAATCTGGAAACACAGACTGTTAGTGTACAGGAGAATGGGAAGACAGTGGATGTCGGCTCACAGATGGCTTATATGGTGGATGAATGAAAATTTACTGCAAATTAACTTCTTAAATTATTTTTGTGGAAAAATGCGGCTCTCAATTTTCGACAGGAATTGTAATGAATTGACATTGTGAATATATTTATTAAAGTTTACAGCTGGATTGACTTAATTATGGTAGGATTTTGAGTGTGCTAACTGCCTTACTTATGCAATTGCATTTTTTCAGAAGTCGATTCTCCAATAGAAAAAAAACGATTTACTGAAAGTTTATACACTGTGCGACCTTTGAAAGCATTAAATTAAAAAATAAATTATCTTTGTTTTATTTATAAAGCTGTTTAAACTGAACTGCATTTTTTTAGGTTACAGTATCAAAATTATATGAAAAGTGCTTGGTTTGAATAATAAATTGTTTTTATTATGGATAAAACTATTTCTTCAATTTTATTAAAAGTTTGAAGACTGAACGTTGCACAACTGATAATGAGGTGCAGAGCGTTCACAAAATCCCGTCTTGTGTAAAGCCTAGTTGTGACATCTAGTCATGAAAAGATGCAGACTTTACTGAATTTATGCCATGATCTTGAGAAGACCGAAAAAGAGGTGAAAAACGGTTTTCTATAAAACCTGCCTCCGCCATATATGCGGCGGTTAGAAGCTGCAGGAAAACGGTCACTCCTGTCCCCAAGTTCCGCCCTGTTTTCGACAGATCTCACCAGGAAATTCTACTTGACTCTCCGGACAAAGTCGCAAACTAAACGGTTACTCTGATCAGTCCTTGCGTCAGAACGCTACCTTACATCGTGTTACTAGGTTTCGCTGATCAACTAATGCATGGGAGTCTCGAAACTGCTAAGCGCAGCATTTATGAAGACTGATAGATTATAAAACCGAGGAGTTATAACAGTAACTGTTGTAACTTCTTGATAAAACTAAACTTAAACTTATCAAAGAGTTGTATTAGATACAGTTCTTTGGACTCTTGTTCAGTAAATGCCAACATGAAACATAAACCACCAACCTGATTGTGCATGGACATTTTTTATTGTTCCAGAGTTTTTTTTTTAGAAGAAAGCCAGCCCCGAGTATTTATTTCTCTCTGTTTATTGCACAGGAACCAGAGTTTTGTAGTGTTTAATTATGTCCATGTAATTTTTAATATTCTGGCTGTATGCGTGTATATAGTCGATTACCGGTGTTTTATATTTAATGGGCACACGAGTGATTTCATCAAGAGTCGATTTTTTTCTCAAATCAAAGTAGTCCAACGCGTACCATCATTTTTAGTAATTTTAATTTGCAGAAATTGTGTGAACGTATGATATGACGTCTCACATTCTGACACTCCATAGAAAACCTTCAGCATTTTAGTTCTCAAAGGAAAAAAGGCATGTACTAATAATTGCTTAAATGGGCACTTAAATGTAAGGAATTTACATTTCATACTGTAGATAGAGAATGTTGACCCGTTAAGTATCACGTCTTACGCCATTTGAGATGTTATCGTGACCAGTAATATTCCAGTCACACAATGACCCCTTGGTAACGTAAACAATATACAACAATAGAGGGGCAAAATGGACACGGAAAGAGGGCCCATGATATTATGGACATTACGTAATACTTTTATAGTAAATACCAACCAGCCAACATTGCGGCCATCTTGTACATGATTTAATCAGAATTTTTACATATTTAGCAGTGCTGAGAAGATAATCAGGTGAGTCTGAAGCTCTGAGACGTGCACATTTACTGGTTTTATTTGAGAGGAAAATAGTAGCAAATATTCAAGTTTTAACATTCCTCAAACTTTGAATATATTTGATTTGAAGAATCGATCCAGGGACATCGATATTTTGGTCTGAACGCATTGATCAAAATCACCATTACACATTCATAGAAATAGAGGTCCAGGTTGGTTTTATTATGTGACGTAGAAGTGTGTATGAAACGCCGAGCAAAGCCTGGGTTTCGGCAGCATAGTGCGGTAGAAATCCCTGTTGTTAAATTTGTCACTTTTTGTCACGTAAACATCGTGTAAAGAAAGCCATGCAACATACATGCACTTTCAAAAATAATATTCAACAGTATTTACACTTAATAATTTTACAAATTTGAAATTATTCAAAAATAAGTCTGCATTAATATGTCACCTAGAGCCGTAACGCTGTGCTATTTTCAGGTATACCATTTGGCCACAGAGGCACTAGTCATCAAAATGAAAGAGGTTAGTCAAGTTATTATTTCTTTAATTACGTATTTGAAAGAACTGAGGACCTATGGAGATTGTAAAGTTATCTTAGTAAATGTTTATCGAGCAATAATGCTAGCTTTAAATTTCGAAACTCCATTTAAGAAATAGAGAGCCGAAGCTGTTTTGTAAGGCGAACAAAGCAAATATTATAATCATAATTATCATCAAACATATATTGCATGGATTTATTTTAAAGGTTTTCCTTCACCTCTGTTTGGTTGTGTTTCTCGTCCATGGTGGTCATCCTAAAGCCGTCTCGGACACAAGGTCTGAAGGGTTAGCTGAAGGTAGGTCGGGATTGAACTCCATAGAATAAAATTTGACTTGTAATGTTTTATTATTCATCAAAGTTCTTTGTTATGCAATTTTTTGTCTCATCAATGAATTTCTAATGAATATAAAACGTTTTGTGAATGATTTTTGTTAAGTCGCATATATATAAAGCTTTTCATTAGTGTGTATCATCACGTGAACGTCAAATCCTTCCTTTCAGATGAGTTGGGAAAACTTTTAGCACTGAGAGAAAATTTTGAAAATGGCATTCAAACAGCGAAAGAAAAATCAAGTGAAGAAGGTATGTGGCAGACAATGCAATCATAACAATTTTGTAATTTGTAATTATAGTACTCTAGCTAGTGTTCTATAATAGTAGGTAGAAGATACGCACATGCTTTTTGTCTTTATAGCTTTTTTCACACACACACTCACACACACACACATATATATATATTTCATTGTTTTTTCAGTTGCAAATGTCGTAGCGCTGCTGAGGAATGAAGTTGCTAAGGACCAAGAGCTAGAAAGACAAGCCGAGTATAAGCGCTATTTGGATTCCCTGAAAGAAGGAGGTAGGGTTGAATGTTAGCACAGTAACATGAATGAAAATTTGAAGTACAACGATCCAAAAACTGAGATCTCTGACTATGTATTGTGGCCCTGTGTCTAGGTAACAGTTCAAAGCGAAAAAGTACATGTATTTTACCTCTCGACAACGACCCGAATAGCGGCCAGACATTTTCTTACGAGATGAAAAACGATTTGTTTATTCCAGACCTCCACGAAGGCGACATATTAGTTGACAAGGAGCTGCTAGCAATGCTTCGAGATGACGTCAGTGATGCACCAGCGGAGAAGAGACAGATGACGTCACGGGCTAACAGGAAGTGGAGAAAGTCTGGTAATGATGTCATCATTCCCTATACCATGGCTGCCGGTAAGTTAACTCTGTCGGGGAAATGTGGCAATAATAATTATAGGTAAATCCCTTTTATAAAGTTAACATACAATTGTTCTTATATAGCCTGTAGTACCAGGATGGTATTCAAGATTATCATACGCCTACTATACACCTAACAGAACGACAAGTGTGTGTTTTGTGGGTTTTCTTTGTTCTTGGATCTAACTAATTTTGTTAAAACTACTCGGTTAGCACCTCAAAATCGCCCAATCCATTCCTTTCGTTGCAGGTGGTTCAGCCTCCTCTACGTTCCAATTGGCGATTAACAGTCTGAGCATGTTAACTTGTATCAAATTTCAACACAGAACAAACCATAGGGACTATATTAAAGTAACAGGGGATGGTAGCAGGTAATCAACATAGACAAAACAACTTGAAAGCTGAGAATTTTGCATAATTTAAGAACATCGAAAGTGTTTACAGAGAAGTGTAGAAGTGTATTATGTTCTGTTGTATGTGTACACATAAAGCATTGCGGTCTTATACATACATTGTAGCTGGAAAGCTGCACGTAAACGCACACGTAAATATCCAGAAACTGCATTATTAGAGTAACATAGGACTCAACATAACGTTTCAAGAAATAGTATATGGTACCAGAATTTGAATCACGATGCTTTCTTTACGCTTTCAGTTGCTTTTCACCCTATGGTCGCCAAGGTGGCATGCAGACACTAAATCTTGGGAACGGATGCTACAGCAAAGGCACTGTGCTGCACGAAATACTTCATGCAATTGGATTTTTCCACGAACAAAGTCGACCTGACAGAGATAATTATGTCACGATCAATTATAGAAATATCAAATCCGGTAAGTAAAAGAAGTTAGCGTGCAGTTTGTATTTCTTATCATATCATGCAATATTATATTTTAAAAACCGTTTTGCCAGCTGGTGTGAATATATTCTTGGTTGATAAATATAAGTGGCGAAAATCTGACACAGAAGCTCATGTAATAAGCACAACGTTCGTACTCGTGGAGCGCGGGTTTTATAAAGAAAAGTTCCCTTCTTCAATTTTTTTTTATGTTTAGGAATGTCAAGTCAATTTGCAAAGAAACGATCTTGGGAAGTAACAACCAAGGGCCAACCGTACGACTTCCAGTCTCTGATGCACTACAGAAATACTGAATTCAGCGCAAACGGACAGAAAACGATACAGGCAAAAGCCAACCCATCCATGTCACTCGGGAATGACGACTTGTCTGCAACTGATGTCGACAAGATTAATTTGTTCTACGGATGCCCACAAGCTCGATGGAAAAGTAAATAATACAATATTGGAAAGTATTTTTGTATTCTTCTATTAAGATGTCCATAGTCAGATGCGAGCATACACGATAAATCGTCTCTGCTACTCTGAGAAAAACAACACCCTATCTTCTAATCTATTATATCAATCCGATATTTCTTTTTGCCATTTCGTTCACATTTTATGCAATTCCATTTCAGTGGACGACTTTGTGATTCAAGTAAAGACCAGTTCTTCTTGGTTTTCTGGCACCGATGCCAAGGTATATATGGAATTGTTCTGGGCAGATGGCGTGAATTCTGGAGAATTCCCAGTCCAGGGAGAATTTGAGAGGTGGTCGTAAGTACAAAATCGCACTCAGTTTCGTTTTGTTGAATGAAGAGGACCACGGATAAAATCGCTTCCAAAAATCACCGTGCAAATCTCTATAAAGCTTATAATAATAAAAAATAATAATAATAGTAATAATAATAATAATAATAATAATAATTATTATTATTATTATTATTGGGATGATCTTGGCTTTCTCAAGTGTAATGTTATTAATTTCAATAATTAAAGTTATTAATTTCAATAATTATTTGCACCCAGCGTGGATACCATGGAGCTGTATTTGCCGAACGAGAGCAATCTGAGTAAGATAAATATTCGTCAAGATGGCACTGGTTTTGGCTCCGATTGGAAACTAGACAGGGTAAGGGCAAACAATTCTAAAAGATAAGTGGAAAAATACCTATCAAAACAAAGATCAATTTTTACAAAAGATACATTAAAAAGAAGTAACAGAACTATTATAAATTCTGTTTTACCACCAAAAGGGAATCCGTGCTTGCCGTCGGAGCCCGTGACCTCCATAGATGACTACCTTCGGTATTAATCCATTCAGAGACGTGCAAAATGATATTTGTAAAATGCCAATAAATAAAGTTAATTTTTTGTTTTGTTTTCAGGTGACAATAGAAGATAAAACCCGTAGTACAAGATATGAGTGTTATTGTGACTGCTGGCTGGACAACACTCTTGCCAAGTCCATCGTCTGTAACCGACTTTAACCAGTCTGGAGACCACCCCAATAGACCACCGATATTGTCCACCCAGGCTCAGTTTTCACTGTGATCGCTATACATTTTAGGGTAGTGGTCTTATGGAATAACCGTCAAGCAAATTGTATTAGCTGATGTCTAAAAGTTCGCGAAGGTTTGTTTGTCTCAATTGTGTTAGGTGGTCCTGTTGAGACTCGGAACATGTCAGATTGTGTTTTCCAGTTGCTTGGTTACAAATGGTTTCCCAAGACCATGTGCATGGCACGCTCTGTTAGAGGTATTTTATCTTTAGTGCCCTTACGCAATTTATTCCTACGTAGCAGTGTTTGTGTTTTTCCTATTCAATCCGTTTAAAATTGTGCAATTTCATAGTGCGGTGGCTTTTAACTTTAATACTATTCATGTATGTGTTTATGCTCAAAAGATGTTTCCGTCCCATGCAGTTATTTTAGACACACGCATCTCAGAGGCACACTGTCGATTTGCTTTAACTTTAAGAAAACTTAAATATACTTTATTTGAATATCAACTTTATGTATCTAAATATTGATGATGTCTTCCCTTTTCTGAAAAATGTGTGGGTAAAATAAGTTATTTTTTTACTTGAGCCTTCCGCCTACACAATACATTTATACAGGACACAATCTTTAGAATCCATCCATTGGTTTACATTTACATTGGTTTACTTTTTCAAGTTTAGATTTTTGTACCGTGTAATCTTTATGAATAAAAGGATAAGAAAATATCTAGATCTTCCGACAGAATTCGAGCAAATCTGTGTTCTAAGTTACTCATTTTCGAGACACTCAAAATGACTGATGAACTTCACTCGTGATATCAAAAGCTGGGTATACATTTGGTTTATTAAAAGACCATAATTTTCTCAATGTTTTTTTTTATACCTCAATGATATCCAGGAAAATTTATTTAATGATATATCTAGGCTTAACCAAGCACTGTATGCCTTTAAAATAAAAAAGTGCAAGTTATAAAGTTCACTGATCACCTTTGTGTGTTTGTATCTAATGGTGCTAGTGAACGTGAAGTATAGTGGAGGGGGGCGGGTGACAGGGACAAGCCAGTTCTCTGGTCGGCTTCACAAAAAAAAAGTTAAAACACCATCGGTATACAAAGGTCGACCCAACCCTGTGAGAACTCTTTCTGAGAGCAACCAGCTTAACTGAATAACTTGCCTCCTCTAGTTACCAACGTACTCGAATAATCACCATCGATTCCACTAAAGCACAACAGCTACTGGACTGAGATATTAGCCACGTCTTTTTTTTATGAAATATACAATATTTTATGTTAATTACTATCTACATAACTTATGTCACAGAAAACTAAAATAGTTGGTCTTTAAAGGCCACTTTTATGTCTAAAGGCCATAAACACACTAAAAATTATCAATCTATCTATCCTTTGATTGACAGCTATTATTACCCTTGTTAAAATAAGACCTTTTATTATCAGTGCATATCCAAGAGATAACAACTAGTAAAATTATACATTTTAACGCTTAATAATAACATCGAACGTTTAAAACCTAGTTGCACCGGTTTATAATTGCTGACCTTCTTTGCATTGTTTGGCATATAGAGATTCTAGTTTCATAAGAATCTTGAAATATTCCTTTGAAGGACTAAAAACGGTTAAAATCTACTTCTAAATACATGTACTTTTAAACAATTAAACTGCAATTTTAACCCAACCACGAAGGATAAAAATAATATTACAATTAACTGTAATAAACGACAGCAAAGTATCAACGTACGTTATTCGTTATAAAACCGCGATAACATGTAATAAAATATGACTGATATATATATATATAAAATCGTTATAAATTCTCAGTTCGTAGTCAAAATTCCGTTCGGTTACATATCATTTTTTTTGTCATTAACTGGCCTTGGTTGGTTAAGGTAACATGCATTTTTTGACTGCGAACTGTATATTTTCAAAATTTATAACTCACATCTAAAGACAAAGTGGGCAAGTTTATAGCACAAAATACCACATAATACGAATTTTATCTCTTTTTAGATAATTTTCCTTTTAAATGGATATTTCTTTACCATTATATCTTACAAAGATCCTCTGATCACTTAAGAGAATTAATGTGCTTATTTATAAAACATTTAACTTCAAAATAAATGATCGTGCTAGTATACAAATATTACATCTAAATGGAATACAGATCAATATCCTCGCATTCCCAAGCTTCTCATATTAGCAAAGCTCGCTCGTTGTCTCTTGCTTGCGTCTAATGACTGTCTGTTCTCTTTGGCGCGCGGGTCAAGGCATCGACACAAGTCGCCGCAGAGCAAGGGACGGTTCATGACAAACCCGCCTTCGACAGTGGACGGACAACAGTCTCCGCCGTCCCAATTGCAGTGCTCTCGGTTGTTTTCTGGATCACAGTATCCGTTACCAACACTGAACTGAAATCGAAAGTAAATTGCTACATGTTTTTGAACCAAGACGTAATTCAAGAACTGTAATTAAAACTAACGAATGATGTTAGTATTAAGACCATTTAAAGGCGTAAGGAGGGCCTTTCAAAGGCAGGTAAATCACAGTTTCTTGTTCAGATATCATTTCCCGGCACATTCTTTTTCAACGGATACGAGTAGAAAATAATTTTTCGCCCAAGGACACAATTAGGCAATCATAACTAAAAAAATCTTTAATAAGGTTTAGTCCCGGCTGAGAAAGGGCCATTGCAAGTACTGAACACATAAACACTTACCAAAATACACTGCTCCATACACCTAATAGTGGTAATCTCAGGTTGCCATGTCAACCCTCCAGTGCACGTTAACGTCCGAACGACATTTCTCTCACCAATATATCCCTCCAGATGGCGCTGTGGCTTACCCAGGAGCACAGGGTCGTGGTACAGCCCTTTACATGACACGTTGCACGTGGAACCTGTAAGATATTTGACTCCATACAAGCAGGACATAACTGCAAATCGATATTGTAAAAGGTTGTTTGGGCTGTTAATGCCTGTTATCATACAGTACATTGTCAATGCGATGCCAAAACGAAAACAAAAATTCAACATAAACAAGAACCGTCAAAAATTGAGGATATTCAATGAAAGAAACATAAAACATAATTCTCTCATAGAAATAAATGCAACAAGTAATGAGACGTATGTAGAGCGGGCCGCAATTTTTAATACTTACCAACTGAAGTCCCGTTACAGAAAATGTCCAGCTGGTCATCTACAGGCATTGGGCAGTGACCGGCAATGGTCGTACAAGGGGCAAAATCCTTGTCCCAATGTCCAGTATTCTGGCATGTTATAGTGGACGTCATCTAGATCGAAAATTAGACTGCAGTTTTGAAGTTGGCACTTATCGTATAAATCCATTTTTAACTTCTTTCAAAAAATATTGAGTTGAAACTATCACATGCTATTTCTGATGCTCATGCACGACTGACAGACCCGTAGCCAGCAATTTCAAAAGGGTGGGGGGGGGGGGTCTTTTTTTCTAAAAAAAGTGGACATTTTCCCTTATGAAACCTCGTGCACCTAGTTATACGTATTTTACCCAGAGGGGATCTCTGGTTCTTTCGACCCCCCACCCCACCCCCACCCCCCTGGCTACAGACCTGGCTGATGACGTCAACTAGGCGTACTATTAAGCTGTCTATTATATATGCATTTACCAGTATGAAATATGTACATCAATACTTATACAGAAAAAAAACAAGAAAATACCGCAAAACGCTGTAGTTAAACAACGTGCTGTACTACTATAGTAGTGTTCTTGAAAATTTATATTAAACCTTTATTATTTCCTGAAATATGCGGACTTTGATCCCTGCTTACAACGTATATGGGGAAAATATAGGAAAATGGTAAAAGTATTAAAAATCGGCCATGCGCACAACAGCCACCACAGTCGTGAATCAAGCACTAATATCAGTCAGAACAATTGTTTAAGTTAAATCGCTTGTTACAAGTCAAAGTAATCCATTCATAGGTTATTTTCCGATAGACAAATTCAAGTAGAGACGAGAGCTCTAAAAAATATACCGGTGGAACATGCATGACGCCAATCAAGAAGTGTTACATCTACAGTACGTTCACATAATCTGTGAGAGCATGCTGTCCTCTGCGCTACTGTTAAGTCGTAGCTGAACCAGTGACCGCAAAATAAAACTATGTAAAAGCAATTGCAATATAAGAGACAAGCAAACATCCAACTACCGCTAGAATAAAAATCCTTAGGACTTGCAACTTACTACATGGGACCGTCGAGAAAAATATCCCAGAAACGTGGAGACTAGTCTGGATGTACGTCCCGTCCATGAAGGTCTTGGCTGATAAATTTAGTGGAAAAAACATCTGTCAAACGAGTTGTTGTCTTACTTTGTATCTCAACAGTCTTAGAAAATAGAGGAAAGTTGATTCCCTTACGCTTAGAACAACTCATATTTTCACATGTGTAATTGCTATGATACTAATTTAAAACTTTTGTAAAAACTTTCGATCATGATACATAAGCAAATGCAGCTGTAATATATAACGCCTGGGAATAGTCAAGTCAGCTTATGAATGTAATTCATATATAAAATATGGGGAATTAATTTTTATCATGTTGGTTGGTGCGAATCAGTTCATCTTTAGGCATAGAAAAAAACTGCAATTTAAACAGTACTCTTGAAACGATATCACCATAACTTCATGACTATTTGAGTCTTCGGGAATTGATAATTTCATTATACCTGATCAAACTGCTTGACAAAGTGTTAATATCCCTGATTAAACATCCGTTAATTAAAAACAGTAGGCATTTCACATACAACTTCCAGTGGAGTTGACACAATTAATGCAGAGCGACCGAGATTCGACAGAATATTTGTGAGTATTCTAATGTATAAGTAACATCAAGACAAAACAATAAGACAGTTCAAGATCGTGTTAATTTGATGCTGAAATAGGTTAAAAGTTTTTTTCTTGAAATAACCGTGCAGTTAAGACACGTTAGTCAGTTGAGGATAAGATATCATGTGGCTACCACAGACATACACATCAACCACAACATTTCCAACCATCCATGTAGTTTATCTCACATGTATTGAATGAATAAGAGACGATAGAGCAAATTCAAAGGACCCAAAAATGTTTGTTCCCTAAAATTGTGTAATTCAATTCAAATTCAAGTGGCCATGAAATGCCATTTTAAGATGTAATAAAATAATGCAAGTTACCTCTTCATCTGGGCATTTCATGGTGCAAGACGAGCCAGAGTCGTAGCGGTCTGTGCAGGCATAAAGGCCATAATATTGTAAACCCGGGGGATCGCACGTGACTTTATCACAATCAGCTCCAAACCAACTGCCGTCCCCCATGCAGGTCTTGTGAAACGTCCTTCTTCATACAACAAGATTGGTAATATCAGAGAACCAGTTAAAAAAGGTCTTATGATTGACCACTCCTATTTTTAAAAGATCGAGTGGTCCGGATCAAATTAAAATAAAATTCTTTTTGAACGTGTGTTATTGTCGCGAACATTCATAACTGAATAGGGGATGAGCTTAAAATTCTTAAACATAAAATGAGTTGCAATAAATATTTCCAAATATTTGTTTTGCTTCTCAGAACTTCCAATAGATCGACCTACCTGGATTTCGCCATGGAGGTGACATGGTACCCTCTCTGACACCTGAATTTGCACTTGGTCCCGGGGTCCAGTTCGTTTTCCTTGCACTGAACTGTGGCCAGCATGGCGTTAGTCGGGCTGGGTGGGCGCGGACACTTTACCTGGCAGTAAGCCACGGGAAGAGACCAAAGGCCATCAGAGTCGCACGTGACCGTGTTATCTGTACCTGTAGAGAGGAATTAATCTCATGTCATTCCTAGTATGTACACATGCAACTTAGTATGTTTATCAAGTTTTATTTGTACCACAGGCCATATACTTAAATCATCCTTTCGTATTTCCCTTTGTAATTAACGTACAATGCCATGCTATTTACAAAACACCCACCTCTTAACAAAGCTGGTGGGTTGCAGTTAAAGATGCACTGGTTCCCAAAACTGGTACCATCAGGACAGACGCTGGTGGCAAACCGAATTCGTGGCTCCCCGCATTGTATGGGGACACACATGAGGTCCCGCCCTGTCCAAACGCCGGCCACACACACGATATCTTCTTGGTGGGAACGGCTAAGGGTATAACTGAGGAAACAAAACACACATGAATAGATTCTCATATTGATATAAGAACGTTATTCTTAGCCAAGTAAATATTTGAGTACCAAACTAAATACATTATATTTCATCCATCGCTTGATCATTTCCATCTCTTCGGTGAAAAGGAATAAAAGATTGAAGGCACCGTAGATTGGACAAATGAAAAACAAATTGTTTGATGCGTAAAGTAATTTTACTAGATAAATATATGCCTTCCTTTTTATACAGCCTCTGAAATGAAATACTCCTTAAATTTAAACACCTTAAATTTTGCCAAAAGCAGTAATATTTAACCATGTGTTATCATGTTTCAATTACCCGTCATGGCAAGTCAAATCACAGGTGTCGCCATCTTCAGTCCCGGTGCAGTGTACCTCTGCGTTTTCGACAGTATATTGTCCGCATACAGGGAGTGTACAGCTGTAAGCTGAGCAACGTCCAGTGCTAGGGTTGTACAGCTCTTGATCCGTGCATTGGCTGATTGTAATGGGGTCCAAATGTTTGGAAGACCGAAGGCGAACAGCTGCTATTGCCACATTTGGGGACGTAAACTTTATTAAAACACCTAAGAAGTCAAAAGAGATTCAAAATTGTATAATAACCCATTTGGAAGACTTATCCGAAATTTTTGGTAGAAAAATGGGCCCGTTTGATAGTTGAATAAAAGACCATCTAAACGACATCACAAATTTGCTGTTAGAAAAAAAAATTCATATAGGCCTATTAGGTTTCTGAGAATCAACGATCACTAAAACATTCCCATGACATTATATAATTGCCCTAATCAACATACCTTTTGTTTTAAAGAATGGTTTACTTAAATCATGTTGCACCCCAATTTCGACAGGATTGTCTCTACAACGGAGTTCCACCTCTTTGTGCCCGACAGGGTGCAGTTCCCCATTCTCATCAATTAGCTCGACATTTATGGTGGTCACCTCGCGGGAGTACTCCATAAGGCCATCAGAACCTATGTACACTATGACCATGGACGCTATGGCAGGACGCTGGAAGGACACCTTGAGCCAGAACTGTTCCCCGGTGCCGTAACCGCCGCATGGGTACCACGAGTGAACAGGGTCTATTTCTGGACCGCACACCTGCAAAACATTGGATCCTATGAACGACTGTTACCGCCAAAATAATCGGCGATATGGCTGTCCAGATCAGGTCCGGCCTGATTATGGATATTACATTATGGATACAGCAACTAATAAGAAAACATAAATGTCATTTTAAGAGAAAGTTGCATAGATGTCTACGTTGCCCAAAGCATTTTGACGATATTTGTATTTTTAAATGTGCAGGTGTGTCTCATGAATTGTCATTAAATTTTTTTTTAAATATTTACTTGACCCTTTCTCATCTTCTATGGTGCCCCATCCCCAACCCCATATAAACAGTATTACAAGCGAAATCAAAGAATGAGACATAACCAACCTCATCCCTGTGCCCTACAAATTATAATGTACTAAAATTGTCTTCGTCGACTGCTTTATACATGTACATCTCTTTGCCCCGATTCGCAGGGCACTTCTATCATCTTAACGTCGCCCTTAGCAAGATGTTGGATTAGCTAATACATATTTATTGTAGAATGTGAAGATTCTTATATTGCATGCAGGCATTTCTGTAACGTGAGATGCAAATTAAAAAAAA